GAATAGATACATCAACACATGCCAGCAGTAATGACCATACAGGAGCCATGTCATGGGCTGGGGGCCACTGGAGTGCATCCCACTTTGGAAACAACCCTTATTATCCCTGACATGGCTCATAAGGAAACCAGGATTGGGACAAACTCTTACAGCCCATCCAATAATTCCCTTCTGGCTGCCACATTGTGTGAGATCTGTATTGCCTAGGAAAACACACTGAGGTTGACTGGAGAACTAGGAATCTGATATTCCAAATATGTGCTAGCATTTCTTGTGTACATTAGTAACTCCTGTCACATAGCACATTGGTAAATATGGCCTTTAAAGTTTTAAAAGGTAATAAAGCTGACAGTTCAGATGCACATTCATTAGCCAGTACCACACCGTACTAGAAAATGTTCTTGGATAATAGTTTTTTCTAATTAAAATGAAAACAAGCAAATTCATTTGATAAAATGAAGTCACAGTCTGAGCAAGAAAGAATTTAAGACTTCACACAAATCATACCTATGATCTCAAGTCAAATCACTTGGAGGTTAGAAAAATGGAGTTAAGGTGGAATTTAAGTATATTTCAGTTAGACAGGGATGGAAAAGCAAAAATAGTGTATCAAAAATTCTGCCTCATAATGACATCATCCACTAGACATGACTGTTTTATGTGTTGGCCTTACAAGAGATAAAACTAATTTTCAAACAGACAAAATCTCTTTCCCCCACTATAAGAATTTTTTTCTGTTTTCTCTATTAACCCAGATTGAAAACCTGTCAGTTTTTGGACAAAGAGCCAAATTTATGCCTAGTGTAAAGCAATGAAACTATACTTTTCATTATACTTTTGTTGTAAAATTCTTTATATAAATTCTGCCTTGGAATATATAGTCATTTTTATCTGTTATACGTGTCATGATTTAATTAAATACTTCTGCAACTTCATGCAATCACAGTTGAAGGCAATCACTGTTCAACAAAATCGACTGAAGCTGTTGATTGTGCCTTTATCTACCCTGGCTGAATCTGAGCCTGTAATTCTCTGCCTCTGGTGACAAAATGGAAGTGATATTATTTATACATGGAACAACTATTGTCTGCTCTAATGGCTACACAGTACAGTGTGAAAATGCCAGCAGTGCTGACCACACTCCTGCTTCCATTGCTTCACCAGAGATGGAATTGTGTTGATAGTGAATTACAAGAGTTGTGTTTCCTAGCCCAGGCAAGGCCATGATAATCAGAATTATTTGAAGTTGATATTTGATTAATGCTGGCAATATTCTATAAGTGATTTCCACTAGACAACATCTAATTATTTAATTATTTCCCATTATTAATGGAATGAAACAATTCAAAACAAACAGCTAGAATGAATGTTTTGTTGGAAGCTCATAGACATAAATTCATACATGTAGTAATCTTACTAAAATTATATCAAGCTGGCCTGTTGAACTTGAAAGGCATATTTTATCCCAATCAATGCATAAAAGTAAAATTATCTATAACTAAGGCATGTTTCTCTGCTGTACAGTTCAGCTGTAATGATCCCCACACACTGCACTTGCACATCAATTATGATAATCATAATCACGGTCGTTAAGCTGAATGTTCATTATTATCAGGATGCTGGTGACAGCAGATTCAATCACCGGCTGCAATGGGCAGGCAGGCACAGTCCCACCCAAGTTTCTGCAGACAGCGTTGTGCCACATTAAATCTACGATGTGTTCCACATCCCACTCCATTCCAAAAGCCGTAGATGGTAAAGGTCAACTTTATGTTCTGTGCAATATGCTTAGGTTCTCTAAATTAATTCTTTGCAGTCTTGGGTATTTTTATGCTTTGTAGATAATAAAATCCTGTTTCGGGCCAAAATGCCTGTGCAAATAATGAAAGTGTGATTCACTTGTACTGTAATTCACCTATAATAAGGCATCAGAGGGAAGAATCTATCAGAATGGAACATCTTAAACTATCACTTCCTGATTTTTACAAATAAGAAAACATTAAATGCTGTCATTAAAGTCAGTTTTCTAAAATGCATATGCAAACTAATTCCAATACCGATTAAAGACTGTAAGCTATTATTTCTGCCTCAGCAAATATGAACATATGTGAGTGTTTTGATAGCTGAAAGACTATAGTTAGTGTATTTGATCCCTTGGCTGTCCATCTACACTGGAACCTATCATTGTAGATTAAAGTCCTAGTGACTAGCAAATTTTTTATATTGAAGCTTCTTACATTAATCCTATCAGAGGCATTCCAATGTATTTAGTTAGATAGTGTAAAACTGAAAATATATAAGGAGTTTTATGTTTTAAACTGATTTACTGAGGAAAAGAACTAGATTCAGTTTCACTAAAGGGATAGTATTTCCATTCCTTGTTCATTTATAATGAAGAATTAGAACAGAACACTTTTTCCCCTAACTCAAACTTCTTTGAAATGTAAACGGAGTGAGATAGAAATTTTCAGATTATAACTAGATGAAAAAAAACTACTAACTTTTTCTCACATAGATATGGTAATTATTATGTTTAGAGGAAGCCTATGCTAATATCCTTTCATTTTCCAGAAGAAATGTAACAAGGTAATATTTTTCATTGTTGTTCATTTTGCTTCTAAAGTAATTATATAATTTACATACTAATCTTTTTGTGACTTGAATTAAATTGCATAGTAATAAACACATGAAAACCTCTGGAAAATACAACTAGGATGTGCTTGTGCACACACACACAAAGAAACTTTCTGTATTAAATATTAAAAAAGCCACCCAATATCAACTAATATTAAATAATATCTCAGCAGCTCAGACAGGTCACTGATCAACTGACCACTGACTTGACTCCTTGGAAGAACATACACAGCCTTACCAGCAACAACACAAGAAACTTGTGTAGCATAAGACTGTCAGAAACTGAACAGAGATCATGGCAGTGTTATCAGTTATTCAGGTTGTAATAGAGGCTGCATCCACAAAGATATAACCTTGTGGTAAACTCAAAAGAGGGTTATGTTCAGTAGACAAGCTATTAAGCAAAAATCCTTTTTGTTTTCTACTATTTTTACATGCCCGCCAGTCTTGTGATTCATTAGAACAGATAATTTTGTTCATTGCATTGATGTAGGCAAAGGTTTCATAGAGTTTAGAAATAAAAAAGTGACACAGAGTTCTATCAAATTTAACAGTTAGGAAAGTATGACCTCACACCTGCCTATAGGCCTTTGTCCATTAAACTGCCATGAGGAGCTTGAGGTTTTGAGGTTCTTTTTTGGGTTTTTTCCTGATAATAATGACCCATTAAAGAATTAGGTATGTCATAAATAGCCCTTTACTCCTCTTATCTCTCTTCTGGGGCAAGGGGCCCCTAATGGAAGCTTCATATTGATTTAGAATTGGGGTCGGAATGCTCTGTGTCATGTTGGGTTAATGTATACAGCTATTCACCACCAGAGATTTAGGTTGGTATCTATCCAAGATCACAAGTAAAGTGAGTTTTTTAGCTAAGCCCATGGTTTATATATGTGGGATATGATATACAGTATAAATATCATCATCTGAGCCTGAGCAAGAACTGCTAAGAACTGGAAAACAGTCTTTACAGGACATAAAAGTACCAGAAATAAGACATGTAGATAGTTTTTATGTATCATACTTATACTGTAGGACTTCAGCCAGCCATATCTTCCATTCCTTGACTTTAAAATTCAGAAATATTTTTGTTTGATTTTTGATGTTTTATTTGCAAGGAGATACAGTTAATGCATGTTGAAATACCAAAACTTTACTCTGAGCTCATTTTTAAACCTTAAAGTTTTGAGGAAAAATCTTTTCAAAATGTTCATTTTCAAACTAAGATTCCTTGCAGTTTGTTGTATATTTACAAAGGTTAAACTTCTCTCAAGGAAATAATTAATTATATCTTACAAAATTCCATAATTGTTTAGGTAGGAAGAGACCTCTTGAGATCACCCTCTATAGCCCCCCTACTCAGCTAGAGCAGGTTGCCTAGACCATGGATATATCCAAAGATAAAGATAATCCAACCTCTTTGGGCAACTTGTGCCAGGCCTCTGTCACCCACACAGAAAAAGAAGAATAAAAAAAATATTGTTTTCTTGTGTTCAGATGGAATTTCATGCACTTCACTTGTGTTCATTGACTCTTGTCAGTGGACACTATGGAGTATGAGAGAAGTTTGGGGTGCTGTTCTTCCTTTGCTCTTATCAGGTGTTTTTGCACTTCAGTAGGATCTCCCCTGTGCCTTCTCTTTTCCAGACTGAAGTGTTCCAGCTGTCTCAGCCTCTGCTCCTACAAAAGATGCTCCAGTCCCCTAACTGTATGGGTAGAGAGTGCAGCACAGAGCCAAAGTCCATTACCCTTTCTGTACTCAGAAATTTTAAAGTGAGATTAAGATACTTAATACAAGTAGGAGTAATGCAAACACTACAAAAACTCGTGTTCTTAGAAAAATTACCTCTTACAGCACTACAAAACCAGACATATATGAGATGCTCCTGACAAAGCAGGCAATTTACCAAGGTCTTCTTAAAATTAAAAACAGCTATTCACAAGTTTTAACATTTTCCCAAAGAATGTAAGCACTAAAATATTGTGCTGTTTTAATCAGGTTTTCCTATAATTTCCTGAAGTTTATCCTAATGTGTAAGATCAAATATACAACCTCTCTTAAATCAGAAAAGGCAATTCAAGCAGAATGAAACTTAGGAAAATGCATGTAACTGAAGCTTTACTTAATCAGGGTCTGTCTTAAATCCTGAACTTGTAGGACCAACAGTTGTTGAATTTCCTAAAATTGAATTTACCAGAGAGTCAAGGAAATTTCACATCTCATCACAGCTCTAACTACATGATTTTATAACATGCTAGAAAGAATCCTGTTGGACTCCATGATCACTGGATCATACTGAAATTCACTTAGTTCTAATAAAACATCAGTGTAAAAAAGTAAATAAATTCTTGACTTTGCAGTGACTTACCTTGTCTGCTACCCACTTCTTAGGATATACTTCTCTGAAATATTTAGTTCCATAAGCTTCTTGGCCATATTTGCCTGATGTAAAAAGTGATGGCTCATACTTCTCATGATTTTTATGATATGAAGAAAATGGCAGAAACCTGAAATTCAAGAATATTTTAGAATTAGTTATGCTCTTCTCTAGATGCCACAGGATTCATGTAAATCAGTTCTGCAGGTGTACATATGCTCCTGATATTTTTCACTGTCTTCTTAATGTTCCCTCTCAGTACTGTGAGAGGATTACTGCAATTTCTCCTCTAGCCTTTTGTGGAATAAATTTGGAGCAAAGAGACAGTGAGTTTCAACAGGATAAAATGAAGACTTTGTGCACAAGGATCTAACTTGGGTCACTTGCATGAGTAGATTGTTGCTTTGTGTGTATGTGCACTGGCAGCTGGTGGGATGCGTGCAGGACGACCAGGGGCCCCTTAGCTGGGAGGTGCCTGCTGATGCCTCAGGTCCTAGCAGAGAGCGCAGCCTGTGCCAGCTGCCAGTGGCAGGCCTCCCATGCATGGGGACAGACATCACCTCTGGAGACAGGCATCCTCGCCTTGTCATAGCCAAAGATAAATAAACCATATCCTCATTAGCAAAAGAGAAACTTGCTCATATTTATAAACCACAAAACAGAGAAATCGTTTCTTCAGAATTCACAGACTGTGTATTTTACTCTTAGGTTATAATTATGTCCTAATTAGCAATCTTTTTGAGCCAGATTCTTTCATTTTTGGTGATAATGATGATGGACTTGCTGTTAGATAGTGCCAGCAAGCAGAGCAGCTACCTGCAGGATGGGGTTTTCAGATGGATGTCCCTAACTGCCAGGGACAACCACATGGTTTTTGGGTAGGTTCCACAGCAAAATGTATGAAGGAAAGTGAAAAAACCTCTTGTATATAGAAGATCTGCAAGACGCCCTACAAACACTTCTTAGTTCCATCTATTTCAGTTTCCAGGAGAGTCATGAGAGCAAACAAGCACATTTTACTATAAAGTAAAACACTGGAAATTAAGTTTATCATTGCTGGTATTCTGAAAAACAATCAACATGTGTTCTTAATTCTAGAAGTGCAAGAAAAAATATTTCTCAGTAAAATTAGAAAGATATGCTTCAGAAGTCAAAAATGCCACTTTTAAATCCTATGACAAGAAGTACAGTTAATTAGAACCCTTTCTCAGCTGAATGTTTTTCAGAATCCAGAGTCCCCATATGAGTTAGGCAAACAAAGTTTTTATAAAAATGAGGATTAAAATACTCTTCTTTGTCTCTCAGCTGATACAGATGCAGAAAACTACTTATTTTGATAAACTGATTTATCAACAACTGTTCAAGTGGTTTTAAAAATTATTTTTCTTTCTTTCTACCTCATGAAAAGAAATGGTTTGAGAATCTTTCCAGCTGTATTAACTTCTTCTATCATGTCCCACAAACAAATGCCATGTAAAGTTAGTGAAAGGAAAACCCTGAGTTAGCAGACTTTTAAATAATAAAAAGCTATAGTAGCATGTGTATACCCATGGGACAGGACACCCTCACACAAGACAGATTAGGGTACTTTTAATGCTAATTTGCACATGGGATGGACATCACACACACACAAAAATTAATGTGGCCCCAGTGTCCCAGAAAATACATTGAAGGTGCTGTGAGCCGGCTGCTCCACTTGCAGTTTTTATCACTTCTGAATTGCATTTTAATAGTACATTTTTCTTTTGTTCAGACATGAAAGAAAATTGGCTTTCTCAGGGGATTGGATAGCTGAGAAGACAAGGCTTGCAGTTTTGGGATTTACCCATATATGCACAGAATTTAGTTGAGCCAGAGCATTCATAATTTAATTTGAGTACCTTGTCTGTAAAATGCATTACAGACAAAATAATTTAAAATCTTGAGGAAAGTAGAAGTAAATTATTACCATTTTCCTAAAATAAAAAATTCTACATAGAGGTTTTGATTTTACTGTGAATCAGTTAAACTTTGTCTTTTGGCAAAAAAATTCTCAGAGTAATGTAGGTTCTATGATTCAAAAAAGACACCCCAAAATTACCACTTTGAGACATAACAAGCAGTATTTTCTTTTAAATGAAAGAAAAAAATATAATAGAGGAAAATGGTATCAAGTAGAAGTTTTTTCTTCTGTTTACAGTTCTGCTCTCAGAGTCAGGGGGCAAATCCTTAAAGTGATTATTCTCTAACAACATGCTTGTAAATTCAGTGTCTGCTTAAAGTAAGTGAGAATTTACCTTATGTGAATAAGTAATTAAAAGAATTACAACAATTTTTTGTCTTAAGCAGGGTAACCAAATTAATGGAAGTAATACCGAAGTCATTATATCCCCCCAACCAATAATAATAACAAGAAGTAATAGCACTGCAAAACACTTCAGTAATGTTATTATGTTCTGTACCTCTTTGTATACACCTGATACAGCTTGTCCCAAAATTAATGACAGTATGTGCTCTGAAAGTGACAGAAGAGAGTGATGGAAGAAGAACATTAAATTCAGACCAGGATACCATTATCAACTGTACAAGTTTAGATTACCATAGTTTAGATTTCAAAACATTCACTCATTACTCCTACATCTAGTTTTCAGCTTTTCCTTGTGATTTAAGTGTAAATTCAGAAATTCTTAAATGTTTTCAGTTAACACGACAGAGACAAAAGTACCAATCAAAGAAGAATTAAATTCTGTATTGATGTGTTATTGGGTTATAAGAAAAAGTCAGTATAAGCTGAGACTTCCCAAAAGATGACTTAATGGAAGGTGAACTTTCCCTAAATAAATATATTGAAAAATGAAAAATTATTTAATATCAGCCTGAATGAGAAATATGTCAAAGAATACAATCAAAATGAGGAAAGGGTTGGAACCAAAAATGAGAAACTACAAATGGCAGTATTACTCATATATAACCTGAGAAGGATCAGGACCAAGGCTGACTGTGTCACTGGTGATGAAGGCCAGCTGCACTGCTGCCAGGACCCCAACCTAATTAGCCTGAAAAGACTTAGAAGGCTTCACTTAGTAGCCAAACCAGGACCTGACAGCTGCTAGAGGCATTTAAATTTCAAAGACACTACAGATATTTGTTGCTAACAAAAATAAAAATGTTTTTATCTCTCATCCTGTCCTGGACCTTCCTTCTACTATTAACTTCATCTTTCTAAACCTTTTTTCCCCTCATATGTTTACACTCCCCCTCCACGATTTTGTTCCTACATTCCTCACCTACCATTTCTCCCCTTCAGTCTGCCTATTTTACCGCAATCTCTCTCACTACTTGGACAGGAGATGGAAAAGGCCTTTTACATGCTGAAGGTTTTTGAACTGGGTTGACAGAGATGACAGGAGCAGCAGCAGGAACTGGTTTCTGGTGTCTGTGACCGCGTGAGAGGAGCACAGCAGCGCAGGCAGGAAGGAGAATTTCCCAGGTCCATCACTGACTGCTGGGCAACAGTGTCCCAGTGATATATGGAACCTACCAATCAATAGGACACAGGACAGAGGCAGTGACTTATTGAAATATAAATGGCCACAAAAAACCAGAGTGGTCCTCAGCATGTTCTCTGAATCTGCCCAAGAGGCAAAATCCCAGCAGTCTAGTGGAGCAAGCAGGTAATCCTGATCCCAGAAAAGCTTCAAAACATTCCCAGGATTCTGAGAAAGATCTGCCAGATCTACTGCTGGACTGCCACACATGCTGCACTGCCAGGGCACAGTTAGAAATATAAAACAGAGTATTGTTACGTGGCTTTTCAAAGTTTTACATTTGTATGTACTGTACATTTTTGTAATTTAGTAGGAAAAATGCCAGCAAAGTATTAGCTCTATGACATTGTTAAATTTTTATCTAAAGTGTTTTTATACAATACCAATTCAATTCTTTGTTGTTCTTATTTAATTCAAATTCATCTTGCTTTGAAGAATTCCATGAACAATTAGCTCCAAACAAGCCATGCTTCTCTATCAGGAATCTGTGAATATTTTATCTTTTTCTTTTTCTTTAATAAAACACGACATTAATTTTAAGCTTTCAAATTTGTATTATACCTGAAGTAATTTTTTCATCAAATCCAATCTTTTCACTTAGGAACAAAGAAGGAAGCATAATGGTTTTCCATAGCAAAACAACTGCAGCAGGGCAGACATTATTTAGTTTATAATGCATGTATATTAAAATCAAAGTGTTAGATACAAGAATAAAGATGGAATATTTTATTTAGCATATCTAGTGACATTATCTTTAGTGTACTCGTTTTGCCATGAGAAGCCTATTTGGGTGTCTTAGTACAAATATTGTTTCTGGTAATATACTAAATGCATGGTTTATTGAAAATGTATCAATCACTTTGATTGTAACATCAGTAAATCTAAAAATTCTCTGGCCATTTTTATTTAACCCCTGTCTGCGATAATGTAATGTGGCAAATAAAAGCACAGCCTAGTTCCTGTAGGAAGTAAAAGAGATCTCTTCTGCAGCAAATTCCGGAACTTCTTAATTATACACAGACTTATTATCTGCATCCCCAGTGTTATAAAGTACCAGAACTTCATTAGAAAAATTAAGATGGAAAAATGAAGGCGCTACTTTGTAAATTTCCAGTGGAAATTAGCTGGAAGAAGCAGAGGAACACTGGATCAAAAGAGGGTAATCATGCTTAACTGTGCCCTAGAGCACCCGCATGTATAATACGATTTGCACAGTAACTACCTCTCCTATTACTGCTTGTTTGGAGTATTCTGTGTTAATGGGGTTAGCTAATTTAGTATTTTAACTTAAAAAGACTCTGCTGATTAATAAATGTTGCACACTGTGCTAGTAATTAAAATAAATGGAAGAGTTACAAATAGAAGTTGAATTGTTAAGAAAACATTATCTGAAAATATATGATAATCCTTGTTTATCATAATACAAATAACAGTCCGGAAAATATGCAAATTGCTGAAGTTGCAAAGCATATGACAAACTAAGTATAATTTAAAAAAAGTTTTCAGATGTGCTGTGTTTGCATGACAAAACATGTAGTAGCCATTTTCACTGCAGCTAAGTCAGAGATACAGTAAAAGATTTTATAACTCTAGAAATTAAAAGATTTTTTAAGAACTCTAAACCTTGTGACTTGCATTTTAAGTTTTCCTGCAATTAATACCAGGCAGCTCATAACATTGGTGCTCTCCAAGTACAGAGCTTATTTAGGTGACTAAATTCTCTGCAAGTGTATCTGTTCTGCCCAGCACAGGGCAGCACAACAGCACCTCAGCTGCTCTAAAGAAATCCCCAGTCTTGCTGGAAATAAGTCCATGAGGAGCTGGGTGCTGCTGTACTCACACAGCACGGGAGAGGCAGGACGTGCAAACATTGCTGCACACCAGTGGGCCAGTGTGGCCAGGACCAGGCTGTGCATCTTCAGCACAGCACTGAGCACAGACACAGCCAGAGGCTGAGGTCATGTTTCTCATGTCACACCAGAAGCCTACAATAAATTAGGAAACCTAAGCCTTACACTCTTGCTATCACCACACTGCATCTTGTTCTGATGTTTGCTGACTTCAAAAAGATGTTTAATAGTACACTTCGAAGTATGAGGCATATTATATGAGACAGATTTCATCAAAGTTAATGAAAATAATTTACATTTTTGTTCTCTGGAAAATAAGGCCAGCATGCGCCTGCACACAACTGAAGAGAGAACTTTTTATGCTTCATCTAAATCTGCTGGATCCAGCAGCTGTTGTCTCAAACTAGACACTATATTAAGTGGCCATCCCAAAGGAATGCAATTGTCATTCTTATCCAAGTGGAGGGGGAAATCACTTCATTTGTATGAAAAATAGCCCAATAAGGTAGTAACAGCTTCAATTATATGAGAAAAAAGGAATCATTTTTATTAGGCTGGATTACTCAGTTGCTTTTCCATTACAGAAAAGGAAATTCCAACAGTTGCTTTAAGTGAGCACAGTATATTCTCTTTTGGTTTCATTTTTACTGCTTCTACCTGCCTCAAACTCTCACAACTTTTCCAAATATTTTGTGCATTTTATCAAAAGCAAGAACTTCTCAGAACTTGCAACACTCATCCTATCATCTGTAAACAACCACTGATAATTAGAGGTCTGTGAGAATTCTGAATGTTGCTGAAAATTTCAGGTACATGCCAACAATCTTTCTGTCTTAAGAGACCCAACACAATACCTACTCTGGAAATATACATATCAATGCAAATGTCATTCATGCAAACACAAGCTTTCTCAATAAATGACACATACTTATGCTGCTCATTCTCTCTTTATTTTCTAGAACAAAAAAATAATCAGCATAGGAAGCACTACCAGGAAGAAATAAAGTCCCAAAGTACACAATTACATAGCAAGAAACAGAAATTTGTCAATTCATAATAGACACTGCTGAGAAAAAACTACTGTAGAATCTGAGTAACTCTTTGCTGGCTCCTCCCTGGAGACCAACATCCCACGCAGCAGCTGCAGCATTACCAGTGAGCATTAGTCCTGGTGATGACCTGCAGCTCTGTCATCACCTTTTCAAGGTTACAGATGTGACCCTTGCATGGCTGGTTGAATAAGAAGCAAAAATGGAATGATCACAGCCTGAAAATGTATAATTCACTCTGCATTTAGTGTGCATGAAGCTGAGAATCATTGATTGTTGGGACATTGCTTCTGTGCATTAAGGATAGCATTAAATGCTTCCTTACCCATAAGGTAAATAAAGACCCACATGAAATAATATCTACCAAAATTGGAGGCTTCAAATTTAAACTGTACAAGACCAAATCTTCACAATTCCCTCACTGAAGAGTCAGTGAAACATTTATTGCAAGGTCTGACCTTCTGAAAGTGTTGACACAGTAATGTCTGGGGTAAACTTCATCAAATAAAGACTGGGCAATGTAGTCATGCCTATAAATGAAGGACATCATCTAACCTCAGTTGAAATGCATCAGTCACAACTAATTCAGTGACGAAAACACTTTAAATGAGGAGTATTAATTAATACCTAGTAACAGAGGTTCTTTTAAATTTCACCAGCAGAAATTTTATATAAAAATGAAAATGAAAAAAACCCAGAAATTTATGGTGAGATGTGAAAATTAAGCTGTTTCCTCCTCTGCACACCAGTACATGAAAGAATACAGAGAGAAATAGAAAAGGGGAGTACATTTGTACCTGGAACTGAACTCACTTATGATTTTAGTATGAAATAAATGGTGTTATCTCTCACTAAACAAACAAACAAAAAACCCCACAAAAATCCTACCAAACAAACAAACAAAAAAAAAAAACCTACTAAAAATGTCATCCAAAAGTGAAAAGGTAGTTAAATAAAATATTTTTTGAATTTCAAAACTGTTTCTGAATAGAATTTTCTTTCAAAGTTACTATTAATATTAAACTGGGGGAAATGGTCCAAAAATAAAAACATAGAAGTTAAACCATGTAAACACAATTGATTCTGGCACTCTTAAGTCCCAGTCCTGAATCTGACATATAGCAATATGGAGCTGATAAAAAGGCATGAAACAGATCAAAGATAGAAAAACATCATGTGCCAGTGACCACAGGCTGCTCATGAGGAAAAGTGATTCCCCTCTGTCCTGAATTTTGTATTGAAGAGCCAAAGGATTGCCAAGAGCAGTGAATTCAAGGAAAAGTTTGGCAAAACACAATTCTTTTTCTAGTTAACTACAAAGGCAGAGAAAGTGACTTAGCAGGCTTTTATTATGATTGGATAAAACAGTGTTTAACAGTTAGCATGCTAAAAAAAAATTTTAAAAAGGAAATATTTTGACAACAGCCTTAAATTTTTTGGGACAGAAGCTTTAATCTTTTGTAATGGATTATGCCTGTATTTGAGATTTTATGGAAAAGAACTGGCCTGTCTGGCAATATTACAGCAGCCACGGCTTAGGAAATCAAACTGCTTCAAAGATTATTCTAGTTTCTGTGTCATGTTCTAACATGCAACATATGCTCCTTCCCCTTCCAAATGAGCTGTGGTAGAGAAAACAAGTCTTATTGGCATGCAACACCATTTTTTCTTCCCATAACCAGTAAGTTTCCAGAATATGAAGACCAAAACAGTGGTTTTTCCTTGGCAAGGTGTATGTGGCAAGACAGAATTTGCATTTGTTTTCTTATTCCCCATTAAAGCCATCTGTTGCATCACATATTATTACTATTACAAGTTCTTTTAGACACTCATAGATACGGATGGCACATGTCACACAATTACAAGATAGGGTCTCTGCCCTGAGCAGTTTATAATCTGAGGACACAGAATTTAGAAGTACATACATAAAATGTTTTCTAGTAAGCTGTCAGGTTTGACATTTCATTTTGTCAGGCATGAAAGGTTTCTGAAAGCAATGGAATAAAGAAAACATTCTCACTACAACATAAGAAGAGCCAAAGAACTCACTGATTGTCATGGATGGGATCTCTCCATTCCTCCCCTCGTGTTGGCTCTCTGGCCTTGGGGGGTGATGAATACATGGACTCTCTCACTCGCAGGGTTGGTTCCATGAGCTTGTAGCGCTGCTGCAGCACCTCAGCGGGATCGCGGAACGGCCCCTGAAAGGTGCAGGAGAATGCAAGAGCTCTGTTTGGGCTTACACTTCCTCTCTTTCCCCTGTTATTCATGACATATCGCTGATGAAACAGGACACAGAATGTCTGGGAAGTGAAGCAAGACTCTTCTCCAAAAATAATCAAGGCTGTTCCTTTTGATAGAGACTTACAAATAACATAAAGGTTGATAACATACTCTAAAGCATCAAAGAGAGTGCATTCCAAATTTATTTACCTACTAGTAAATACTTAAAATTTTAAATAAATATATTGTTAGAACTGATTAGGAGAACTTTGTTTTTACTGAGAAAAAAGTATTGGTGAAATAAAAAACAATCATTAACTATATCTAAATTCTGCTTAAGCAGAAAACTTAAGTATTTAAGTTTGCACAGAACAAACTTTAAAGAGCATGCTCTTTTCAATGTAACTATAAACCTACCTTGAAAGGAACTTAATGCATGGCTTAAGACATAATTCTTCTAACAGAATTCAAACACATGAGTTCAGTACTATAGGCACATAGTCCATTTCTAAAAGATCTAATTTCACATTAACTTTGTAGTTCTTAAAAAAATATACATATATGTCTCTTTTTTTCCAGAATATATTGTTTAATAACTGATTGTATCAGTATCTACCATTTAAAAACATGGATAAATAGGAGGAAGTCCTCTCCTGTGCTGCTGAAGTGACATATCCTATATGTCTCACTTCTAGTATTAACCCTTGAGAACTTACCTGCAATATAATTAGTGCTCATGTCACTCAAGGCAGTCGACTAACAAGCCTGAACTTAGAAGTATTAAAATTAATTTTTATTTTCATCACTGTTGATCTTGCAATGAACTAGTGAAACCTTTTGAAACTATGAACAGACAAAGAAGCCTAATCACAGCCTTTATTCTTAAAGATATCCTTCTTTAAATAGGTTATCACTAACAAGTCACAGCTGGAGATACTGCAAGCACTGAGTGAAGACTGTGGGGCTAATAAAAAGAAATGATTCACGCCTCATTTATGTTCACTTATGTTTTACATTAATAGAAACCAATAATAGGAACCAGTTACCATAAAAGTCATGGACCGTAAATAACACAAATGGCAAATAAGTATCATCTAGTACTTTTCACAGCTGGACAGGAGGATTGCTATATTTAAAAGTAGTTAATGGATTTTTATTGGAACTTTACTTTTTAAAGGCACAGCACCAAGATTTTGAGATCTTTTTAAAGGTCCCAGTAAGCAAACGAGCATAATATTTACACTTCTTGCAGATATTTTCTTGCTTCTGTTTTCATGGTCTGCATGAAAAATATGTTCATTTTAAAAGAACACAAAAGCCTTAAAACAGAATGAAAAGTGCTACCGCCCATGAGAGACTACTTACTATTAGAATAGGTCATTGAAACTAGTCAACAGTGTTCTAGTAATACATAACCTGATGATCAAGTTAAAAAAAGTTTTAAGTTTATAACAAAAATTGAATATTCTGTTACAAGATGGTTGCATGAAGTGAATATATAGAGAAAGGAAGAAAGTACTAGTACCAAATAACACCAAGAAAAATATGTTTAATTTCAAAAGTAGTCTTTAAGAATATTGTATTGTTTCTTCACTGAAAGTATTGACTCATATAACCTCCAGGATAAGGGCCAAATCAGATATCCAAGCAAGGGGTTTTCTCCATCTTTAATTTCTGAGACTACTAATAGAAGGAGAGGGAGAAAGGATGTAACTAAGTAAAGGTAGCTCAAAACAAGGCTATGACATCACTAATGAAAGCAGAGTATATATATTAGAATACTGAGATAATTCTAAACATTCCCTGAAGATTTTTGTGTTCCTCTGAATCATGTATTTGAAGAAATTTAGTTAGTAATAGGGACCTCAGGAATGTATCTTTAAAAAAAAACCTCTACAAAGTTCATGTATCTATTTCCATTTCACAAGATTAAGATTGTGGAAACTCCAGTAGATTGGTGCTTAAAAAAATGTTTTCAAATTGACAATGCTTGTAAGTGTTCCAGGTGTCCTGCTTCAAAATGGAAATCTTTATGGGGAGGTCAGGCTTAGAAAAGAATGGTGGGAGTTGACCAACAATGTTTACCCTGAATGAAACTCACACAGCTCTATGCTCTACGTTTGGACTTTGTACTGAGCAGCATAAGTCTTCTTGATACCAACTGGTTTGCCAAATAAAGATTAGCAGATCAGCATTCTTACTACTTTATCATAACATCAGAAACTCATAATAAAAAATACAATCTGCATTAAATTATGCATTCCTCACTGTCCCCATTCCACAACAGATAACAGCATGCAAAAGATCTAAATGGTAATGTGCATTCTGTTATTAACGCCTTTTAATGAATAGATGACTAATTTTAGCATTATCTGTGTTTCTATCAAACTATAATTCTAGTTAACTCAGTAATAAAAATGATAGATCTAACTGATGTAGAAGCATCATTAAAACCTTTCTTTTAAATACACTATCTTACATACACAGACCTTACCTATTAAATGCTAAATACCCATTTCCCTAAGAGAAAACTGAAAGATAGTTAATTTTTTTTCTTTTAAACATATATAATTGACATCCTCATATAAAACATCCAAACCTAGTAGCAATAAAAATTTTAGATACCCGAAAAAAGTAACAAGTGAGCCAGGCAGATATTGGAAAAAGAAGCTTGGTGCCAAAAAGTGCTACCACAAAGAACGAGGACACAAAGTATATCTAGTAATTAAATTTCTTATGGTCACACCAGACAACTTTCAGGATGATGTGTTCTGGTGGGTTTTCATTTCCAGCTGTTTCATCAGCTCAAACCAGTGTCCTTTTTTAGACATACAACCCTAAATTGTCAAAGTGTTGTGCAGGGATTTAGCCGTGTGACTCCCATTAACATCAATAAGAGTCGGGCAGCTAAATCCACGCGCTGTGCTTTGAAAATTTACCCCACAGTGTACATCCCAGGGTGCTGAAAGGATTAAAGTATTATATAGTAAATTCCCTCTTTGAGGTGCAGAAAATAAACAGAACTCTTCTGGTTTGTTCTAAAAGGCTATCTGTGCATGACTGCTGCGTGCGCATCTGAACTTTAAATAGTCTATAAAATATTCCAAATCCAAGCAGAAGCTCGTAAGATACTTTGTGTAGAGTAAAGCAATTTTGCAAGAGCACCTTAACAATGGAAAAACTGTGAATTCCCTATTTATTTAAAAGTCTGATTCCTCACCATGCTCACAAGGCAAAAACTTTCCTCTTTCCTGAGAGACAATGCAACCAGTCACATCCTGCTCAAGGACTGTCATAGCCCCTTAGTCCCAAAAGGTAAAGCTATAAAGTCATGTTTATGTCAACTCCAAACTCCCTGATCACCCAAACTGCCTGTTGGCTCACACTTTGTCTCAATTCTAATGTGAGTCAATGAGTCTCAAAGCAGTCAGAATAGGGACAACACAAGGAAGGAAGGACAAAGGTGGAGAACTGCCCTGAAGTTGATTCTTACTGTTACAAGCAGTGGGCTCACCTCTGCTTCTCCAGAAGCATTCTTAGAATCACAGACCTTCTTAGAATCATAAAGGTTGGAAAAGACCTCCAAGATCATTGAGTCCAGTTTTGACCAAACACCACCTTGTCAAACTAAACCATAGCACTAAGTGCCATGCGCGCTCATTTCTTGAACATTTCTGGGGATGGTGACGCTACTGGCTCCTTGGTCTGCCTGTTCTAATGCCTGACCACCTTAAAGTGAAAAAATTCTTCCTGATGTCCAGCCTGAACCTTCCCTGGTACAGTTTGATGTTATGTCCTCTAGTCCTGTTGCCTGGGAAAAGAGACCAGCCCCCACCTGGCATACACCCTCCTTTCAGAGACTTGTAGAGAGCAATATTGATTCAGAGGAGTAAAACAACATTAAAGATATATGTATATATACATTGATTATTGCTCAAGTTGTTACATTTCTGCAGATAGGGGGTAGTTTCACTGAAAGTTGCTAAGAAGGACTCATTTAGAAGTATTGTCTTTCTAAGCAAGATACAAATAAGGAAAATTAAATATAGAATGGAGTACTAAATGGAAAAGTGTCAGAGATTCTGAAGATGTTGTGTCACTCATGGTGAAACCAGCATGGAAAGTGTATGTGCGAGCTAAGTAGAAGATTCAGTAGACTGGGAAAACTGAAAAATTCTTCAGAACAGAGGGAAAGTCAAAATATTTCTATCCCTAAAGTACTTGTATAAGGCACCTACTGGCAAAAGCTACATTTCATTGTATTATCATCAAGTGTGGAACACAAATTTCTCAAATTTTTTTTCTTCTGAATATATTATTGGTCATATTACCAGCAGGTTCTGATAATAAGAGAGAAAAAGCTGTTTTGCCATCTTGTGAGACATTCGCTTTGATGCATTATCCCACAGATGTCCATAACTCTACAGAAAAGGAAAAAATCTACCTGCCAGATACAGCGACATCAGATGAAGTTAAAATTGAGACTATGACAGTTAATAATGGAAGCTGGGCAAATTGGTTATGATGGAGCAGAACATGTAGAAATCTTTGTTATTAAAGCTCTCACACATCTAGCGGACACAAGAGAGTAGGAACTATTCTGAACTGAGAGGATGCCTCAGTCTTCATATGGAAAAAAATTGCAAACTGAGGACAAAGTTATCAACAACTGCTTAATTTTTCCTATCACCTTTAATTTCTCCCTTTTTTTAATGATTTAAGATTGGAAATTAAGAATTCTAGCTCTAATTAATCATAATATTGATACTCAATTATATCAGGTCATACCTTTGAAATATCATAAATTACACTTTTCTTCCCAAAGGACAAAAACAACATACAAAGAATATTTCCCTGTTCCTATGTAACACCTAGATTTCTTTTTTCTTTAAGTCAAATCTGTGTCAAAGACTTTATATCTTCAATGCAAGCACTAGATTTATATTTTAAAAAAACATTCACAAAAGGGATATTCAGACTTGGTGATCCAAGTCAAGGATAATCTCTGATGAAAGATGAGAGCAAAAGCTGCTGCAGAGTTACTGGAAAGTGTTACCTGAGGTTTCTGTCTGTCAGCAGGTAGCACAGGCAGTGATGCCACAAAACCTGGAGGCTCTTTACAGGTTGGCCAGCCATAGAGCTCATCAGCAAAGGGACTCTTCACTTGCTGCTTCCTGTGGGTCAGTGGCTTTGACTGCTGTAGCAGCAGCTCCATTGGATCTGGGGATTTTCTGAATGGTGAATTGTAGACACCTGGAATCTGAGCAGAAAATGGGATCGTCTTTGACTTCAACTCATTTAAATTTCTACATAAACTATGATCAAAATCAGACAGTGGCACCTGCTGCATTTTTAAAAGCAAATCAGTCAAGTTAGGAGAAATAGTTAAGGAGAAATAGAAGAGAATTTTTGGAATATCAAAACCAATAATTGCTTTTTTCTCAACAAAATGTCCACAATAAATTCCTGAATAGCTATTACAATGTGTTTACACTTAACAGCAAAAAAATGTGAAAAACAAAAATTTAGCGCAATGATTTCTAAATTGTGACTAAAATAGAAAGGTTCATTTGCCACTGAATTTGATTTTTTTTTTACATTACTAATTGTATGACTAGTGTGGTATAATGTAACAATTACTGATATAAAACACATATTTGAAATTCTGCTTTAGCAATCTACATCCTTAACTATCTGTGAATATCTGGCAAGTCAAATTATGTGGCAACTGTTCCCAAATCATACCTGTATATGCAGGCATTTTATCAGTTTATATAAACAATTCCCAAATAGACATATGTGAGTTTACTGAATTAATTATGAACTGTTAAATATGAGAATTACTTTTCCATATTGCACAAAGCCACTAAATTTCCCATAAAACAGGTGACAAATGATTAAAATATACAAAAACTAATTTAAAGATACAGGGTTGTTTAAAGATAATTATATTTTCTACAAAGGTACACTAAAACTTTTAAAGTAGACTTGCTCAGTTAAAATATATTGTCCTTTGCACTTATCATAATTCTAATTACTAGAATAAACCTTGAGTAAAAGTAGTAGGGAAAGAAATTGGTTTCAAGATGCAGGGAAAGTTAAAGAAAAGAGTAAATGTTTAAAATCTTGTATTGCTCTTTTGGAGGACTACTGAGGACCCATGAGAAAACTGTGTAGGGCATCAGCCTCTTCACAAAGTATTAAACTCCTGGGGCTGAGAGGACAGAACTCTCCCCAATGACCTCTAATGAATTTTTCATTAACATATCCTACTGGGAAGTTCCAGTTTCTTGTGTCAAAGAATTAAATAAGGTACATATAAAACATTTGGTCTAACAGATACTTTTTTAAAAAGTATTCAGCTTATTCAAAATAGTGTTGGGCTATTTAAAATTTTAAAAGCTACATTCTTCATCTCTAAATTGTATGGGTCTAATGACAATTTATTTTGGTCCTCTGTTATTTTTTCCCCTCTTAGAGTATACGCTAGAAAATATTTCATTAATGGGTAAAATGTACAGTGGGAAAGAGGACTTGAATAGAGATAAGTGGTAGAAACATAAGTATGCCAAAAAACCACTGGCTGTTCCTTCAGCTCCTCAGGATGCTGAATTAGAATGGCAGGGATCCATGCTTCAAACAGCAGGCAAGAGAATACTGGAGTGAATGGGAAATTCCAGGTCTGTCTCTATGATATGTAAAGCCCAGCTGCAACTTAATCTTTTGTTCTGCAGATCCAGCTTGTACTCATATAAACATCTCATAAAGTCACAGATTCTCCTCACACTGTTATTATTTTCATTGTACTTCATGCATTGTTATATTGCAATTTTCTTATCAGCCCAGTAGAGTTTTGTCTGTGACCACTCGGTGATCTGTGCTACATAAAGAGAAGTTCCATGGGCTGTCTTGGAATTTATTGCACTCTCCCACAATTGTTAAATGCAGTTACACCATATACGTCCTACACAAGTTCTCTCAAATATAAAATGCCACAGTCAATACAAATTCCATATAAATGGAATGCATTAGAATCACACAAATAAGATCCCTTCCTGGAGATACACAAACTATCTCTATGCCATGGTCATTGTACCACACTTCACTCATTAGTCCTACCACAGCCTTTGGATCTGCCTCCATGATGACAAATTAATTTTTGCCTTCATTATGTTGATGACAGTAAATAGAAAAGTAATAACCTTTTTCACATATTTCACTGAACTGTTCACTATGTTGTTGCTTCATTTTTCCACCCCTTCCTACACCATCCATACTCAGCTGTGGAGATTGTTTTCTAGACGTGCCACGAGCGTGCAGAGGTTCCCAGCCATGGGGAGAGACCCTGCTCTCATGGTATGTCTGTGAAACATATTTTATAGAAAGTGACAATGGCACTGAAAATTTAAATATTATCCAGAAGAGAAACATCTCCATGCTCATCACTGAGAATCAGGGTGATCTGGAAGAAAACACTAAGGCATAATAACATCTCTCTAAAGTTGGCAGGCATGGATTTGTTGATTGGTAACAAATCTTGATCAAGGCTGAGTCTTCCCAAAATTTAGATCCATTTTTAAGCCTTTTCTTAAAAAAAAATTAAAGTATGCTGAAGAGCAAATTGAGGAGGAAATATTTAATTTTTTTAACTGAAAGAAAAAATTATTTGTTCTAATATTTTGATCTACATAACACAGGTTTGGGGTTTGGGTTTGTTACTCCAAAGTCTAAAAATACAGTATCTGAAATAATTTAAATGTTCTTCCTCTGGAGAATGAAATGCAAGAATAACTTTAAATCGATATTCTTTCTAGGTTACTTCTTTTAGTCCCACTGAGAGATAGTGTGTCTCCATATAAAATGGCTTTCTGAAACTGCATTTTGCAGTCTCTTTTAAAACACTGTGTATATTCTATTTTGTGCTTCTTTGATTAAATGTTTGGTAGTAATAAAAAACTATAGTTCATAAAGGGTTCAAACACTGTGAAATGCTACTGAGTATTACCAAGAGTACTAATAAAATTGGCTTTTAGCACTTTTAATGAAACCAAAATTAGCCATAATAAATGTGGAAATCTATTGATTCAGTGTCTGTGGAATTATTATTGCTGAAAAAGTGTCTTAAAAAGAACCATCTTTTGTTCCCCTTTTTTTACATACTCTCACGTTAAATGCATACAGATACTATATCAACTGTGAAAATGGATTTGTAGTTTAGAGAGGCCAACCAGACACTTTAAAAGTTTTTGCTTCTTCTACAGGTGAAACTCTTTGTAAGATATGGGTCAAAATTGATTACAAAGTGAATATTTAAATAATGATTTTTCAAGCAATCCTTGTTAATTACTTTATATTTTAATTATATATGTTGAAGTATTCAACAAGACACATAACAAAGCAATCAACAGAGTTAGTATCTAGATAGATAAAATTAATACTAATTTATTCTAAATTCCCCAAGGTTTGTGGTAAGGTTAGCCCTAGATTTAAAATTGGTAAAGTATGATAGGAGAGACAAGAGGATGAGTTTGATTCTACTTTCCAGTTTACATCAATCAATGGAAAAATTGCTTCCATTCTTTCTTAAAAATATCTCTCCAAGTTTTAGTCTTGTTTTTGGAATTTCTTGTGTTGTGCAATGTGGTGATGAATACCATATTTATTCTGTCCTCTGCAGGGAGCTGGCAGCCTACAGAAATCTAAAAATTTCGGGGATCAAAGCCTTTGGTACTTAATATATTTCTATATCTTCTTGAGAAAAATACAATGTATTAAAAGCATTACTTTATTTTCTTTCCCTACTTTAATAAAATACTCTCTCAACCACAAAACCTGCTTTTTAATACTGCTTTTTCAATGGTAGAAAAATATCTGTCTTGGATATTACCCCATGCTGTGATTTCAATATTTTCCCCACCTTTAGTCCATAAGAAAATATGGAACACTCCAAATTACCATAGATTACAAAAAAAGTACCTCTGGTCTGCAGGGAGAATAACATATTTTTCTGTACCCATGCTCTTCAACACTAAGAAGGGCCTCTGTCAAAGCCAGATTTCAGGACTTCATTTCCAGGAACAATTTTCTAAAGTGACAAACACTATGGGGAAATCTGTGCTAACTGTTAAAAAAACTTACAGCTGAGTTATTTGCAGTACTGTCATGCCAACTTCCACCTCAATAAGACCAAAGAAATCTCAGGAGGGGATTCTGCTAATAGCTTCTTACTGACCTCCTTACATCAGGCCCTTCTGGTGAACGGTGGCCCAGTGGTGAATATGGCAAATGAGGTGTGAAAGCAGAGATATATTTTTTTTTAAGACAATGGTTCTGACTCATCAGGGAAAATAAAAAAAATAAAAAGAAAAGGAAAAAGAAAGTGTGAGAAAGAGAAATGAGTTATACAATAGATATATTTTCCCCTAGAATTCTCTGCCTCAGACCTTCCATCATGGAAACCCAAGCGTGACCTGGAATATTAATTGCGTCAGGTCAAGCATACTGGCAAATGTACCATTTGTTACGCAGTCATCCTTAGCATTACATTAATATTTTGAATCCTTCTGCATTTCTAACACTCTATCATTTAGTTTCCTCCCAATCATTTTCTTATCTTTATAATTAATGCTCAAATATAAAGGAAGAAAAAATAGTAAGGAAACAAATATTGATTTAATAAACATTAGCAAGAAAAAGATTTAGGGATTTCATAGTCTGAATTGCTTCCTCCACTAATGCTGTGTTTACTCAGTGCTAAAAAAGATCCATTTTTGGCTTTTCCTGTTTATCATTTTGATACAGAGAGTAAGAGTTAACTCTTTCTGTCTAATTTTATATTTTTTTCCGGAATAAAAGAAGAAAATTATTAAGGAGTTGCCTTGAAAGCTAACTATGAATTAAGGCAGCAGCAAAAGAAATGGAAAGAAGGAAGTAACAAAGAAAGGAAAGAAAAAGGTGCAGGTAAAAGGGGAAAAACAAGGCTGTGTTGACTATGCTGGACAGTACATCGGAAAGGAGGTGATCCCAAGTGGTATAACAAATCCTGAGCAGTTTAGATTCTGCAACTTCAATTTATTAACTATTTATTTATTAGTCCTCTTTCCTACTTCTTGGCTGAGCTTTTGAAGTCTATGTAAAAAATTGCAAATCAAATATGTTCTAAGATACAGCATAGCTATTGTACTGCAAATAATAATACACATGCAAAATTAAAAATTGACAAAGTGGAGCTGAAGATAAATTGCAAGGATTAAATCAATA